TACGGTAGCTTTATTTTCAACTTTTTGAGGAACCTCCATACTGTTTTCCAGAATGGCTGCACCAGCTTGCATTCCCACCAACAGTGTAGGAGGGTTCCCCTTTCTCCAGATCCCCGTCAGGCTGACATTTTCTTAATCTGTCTTGCAAGGATATCCAAATCTTTTACTATAGACTTTTATTATGTTAAACAAAACAATCAAAGCAACACTTACTAAATGTTTATCAGTAATGACTTGTTATTTCTTCAATAATTTTGTATTTTAAGCACTTTCATCAAATACAATGGTTTGAAAAAGACCGTAATTTTAAGCAACAGTGGAAGCAGAAAGAAATGTTTGCTACTCAGTTCACCTCCATCACTTACTAGACTATAGTCACTACAGAAGACACAGCCCACAGCCAGGGCAACTGCTAGTGACTTCTGCATAATGATAGACAGGTAAAGCTCTAAGACTTCCCAGTTGAGACCCGTCATCTAAAAGTCTGCGTACATTCTGTCAGGGGAATATTCCCCAAAACCCCATCAATTTGCTCTCACAACTTTTCCTCCTCCTATATATTCCAAGTATCAGAGTACCATTTACTTAGAAACCTCAAAAATCACCCTAGGTTTTCTCCCTCCCTATCAGAATTAGGATTCTTCAATTCTACCTCCAAAATATGTCCTATTATTGTTCCTCTTGCTTCACCTTCACTACTGCTGCCCGAGTTCAGGTTCTCATCATCATAGGCTTGGATTATTACAAAGAAACCAATATAACCTCTACATGACCATGAGAGCAAACCTTATAATTTGCAAATCAGATTATAACTCTACTATGTTTAAAAAAAGAATCAGTGAATTCTCTGGCCTCCAGTACCCTTCATGAGAGATTCCACCCTATTTGCCTCCCCACTTCTCAAATACACATCCATTCCTCATCATACACAAACAACACATCACCTTTAACATATGGTGCCCTTCACCAGGGAGTGGAAGTTAGTACTGGTGTATGTTCTGAATTAGAAATATTCTCTTTTAAACACAGCATCACCTGTAGCAAACTATGAAACTCTGACACATTGCAGTTGAGAGAAAATACAAGAATTACTTACAGCCTCATGCAGCTCTTCATGCTGACAGCACGATTTCGGAATGCTAATGGAATCTTCAGGCCCAGAAGTATTAAGTAAGGTCTCTTCTAGTTCAATTTCTTTCTCAAGTTTTACTAATACTGGTGGCTCAACCCCATATCTGAAAACCAGTTATGAGATCTCATCATTCAAGAAAAGTCTGACCCATTCACTTCCATGCATATCACAATAGGTATGTTTTATTTTTAAAGTGAAGTCTATTTGACTCTCTTCCACCAATTGTTTCACTGGAACATCTGGAAATGCTTTTTAATGTCCCACAGACTGTCAAAAATTCAGGATATAATCTTCACATTATAGCATATATTGAGATTACTGGATGCTCCAGTATTCAACCAGGGATCCTGAAAGTTAGCCACCTTTAAAGTCAGCTTGAGAGTAAAGATGGGGCTGAGTCAGGTATGGAGGACACTAAGCCTCAGCCTTCTTAACAGATCCTCTTTGTGTCCAGATGATCTGCCTTGCCTTGAATTGCTAAAAGAGTTTTACATGCTTTTACCATATTCTTAGTCTAAAAAATTTAAGCAACCACTTTTACAGTTTAATACTAAATGACGGCAAGGTATATGGGTAAGCATATGTTGACACATGACACAGCTCATGCAAACAGAACAAAGTTAATAATTAAAAAAAAAGGAATAAAGAAAAGATAGGAAATTAAGTTATTTTATTTTAATCAAGAATTATTTTATTTTAGAAAATAGTGTTCTATCTAAAATAAAGTAGCTCTTAAAAAATTAATGACATTGAAATTCTGAAATAATGTGGAATACACACCTTGACACAATTCGACCAATTTCAAGAAGACAAAGATACACCTGTCTTGGATCTTTGTGCAAAACTGTGAAAAAATAAGACCACATATTTTAAAGGGCAAAATTAAACGGGGAAATACATTTCTGGCATGGAAGAAGTAAAAAAAAAAAAAATAAGACAGGAGGTTTACTTGTTTGGAGACTTAGAAAGGACATTTTTCTCTACATATTATCATTGTCCATAAATTTTTTAAAAAACTGGCTAGTAAGAAGAGGATGAAAACTTGTACCCTAATTTATAACACTTTAAGTCTAAAAAACTAAGGGCTTAGTAACATTAAATTGTTTATATTTCAGGTCTCTCAACAGGAGATATTATTTGAAGAGATATCTCACCTCAATTTTATTCTAAACTATCTTTAGCTTAGGACTATGTGTTAATGGCCTTCTCAAACTTTTTCAAAATCAGAAAAGAAGGAGTACTTCCTAACTCATTCTATGAGGTCAATATTACCCTTACACCAAAGCCAGACAAATATATCACAAGAAAACTAAAGACTAATATCCTTTATGGATATAGATGTAAAAATCTTCAATGCAATACTGGCAAACTGAATCCAGCAGCAAGTGAGATGTATCCCAGGAATGCAAGGTTGGTTCAATGTATGAGAATCAATCAATATAATCCACTATATTAATAAAGGAAAAGAAACACACAATTATCTCAGTAGACACAGAAAAAGCATTTGACAAAATCATATACCCTTTTCATGATAAAAAAAAAAAAAGATTCAACAAACTAGGAATGGAAGGAAACTTTATAAATCTGAAAATGGGTATCTATGAAAAACCCAGAGTTAAAATCATTCTTAATGGTAAAAGACTGAGAATCTTCCTCCAAAGACTAGGGAGGAGACAAGGATGTCCACTGTCACCTCTTCTATTCAAAATTGTATGGGAGGTTCTAGACAGGGCATTTAGGCAAGAAAAACAAATAAAAGGCATCCAGATTGGAAAGGAGGAAGGAAAACTATCTCCATTAGGATGACACTGCCCTTTTCATAAAAAACCCCTAAGGAATCTATAGTATAAGAGCAAACTCAGTTTCAGCAAAGTTGCAGGATACAAGATCAACATACAAAAATCATTTCACTTTATACAATCTGAACATGTAATTTAAAAAGCAATTCAGTTTACAATGCTTCAAGAAGAATAAAGTACTTAGGAACAAATTTAACCAAAGAATTTTATGACTTGTTTACTGAAAACTACAAAATATTGTTGAAAGAAATTAAGGAAGATACAAATAAATGGAAAGACATCCTGTGTTCATGGATTGGGAGACATAATATTGTTAAGATGACAAAATTCTTCAAACTGACCTACAGATTCAGTGCAATCCCTATCAAAATTCCAACAGCCTTTTTTACAGAAATGGTTAAGCTGATAAAATTCATATAGAATTGTAAAAAGAATAGCAAAAACAAGAACAAAGTTGGAAGACTTGCACTTCCCAATTTCAAGACTTACAACAAAGCTACAGTAACCAAGACAGTGTGTTAGTGGCACAAGGACAGAGAGACCAGTGGGATGGAACTGAGAGCCCAGAAATAAACCCAGACATTTGTGTTCAGTTGATTTTCAAAAAGGGTGGCAAGACAACTCAGTAAAGAAAACAGCAGTCTTTTCAACAGATGGTGTTAGAACAACTGGATATCTACATGCAAAAGAATGAATTTAGACCCTTACTTCACAACAAATACAAAAAAATAACTCAAAATGGATCAAAGACCTAAACATAAGAGCTAACACTATAAAACTCTTAGAAGGAAAAAGAGGTGAAAATCTGTGTGACCTTGGATTAGGCCATAATATTTTAAATACGACACCAAAAGCACAAGCAATCAAAGAAAAGATAAACTGAACTTAACCAAAATTAAAAAATTTTCATGCATCAAAGGACACTATCAAGAAAGTGAAAAGACAACCCAAGCCCTGGATGAAAATATCTGCAAATCATATATCTGATAAGGGCCTAATATTCAGAATAAATAAAAAACTCTTACAAGTCAACCAAAAAAAGACAAATGACCCCCAAAAAATGAGCAAAAGATTTGAATACGGATTTCTTCAAAGAAGACACACAAGTGGCCAATAAGCCATGAAAAGATGCTCAACATCATTAGTCATTAAGGAAATGCAAATCAAAACCACAATGAGCCACCACTTCACATATCCACTAGGATAGTCATAAAAAAAACAATAACAAGTGTTGGCGGAGATGTGAAGTTGTTCGTTGCCAGTGGGAATGTAAAATGGTGCAGCCATTGTGAAAGCAGTTTGGTAGTTCCTTAAAAAGATAAATATAGAATTACCATATGATTCAACAATTCCACTTCTAGCTATAACCCTGAGAGAATTAAAAACATATGTTCACTCAGAAACCTGTAAACAAATGTAGACAGCAGCATTACTCATACTGACCAAAAAGAAAAAACAATCAAAATGTCCATCAGATGATGATGTTTTTTAAAAATGTAGTATATCCATACATGGAATCATTCAGCCCCATAAAGGAATGAAGTACTACTGAATGCTATGACATAAAGGAAACATGCTAAATGAAAAAAGCCAGACACAAAAAGCCACATATAGTATGATTCTGTTTATTTAAAGTATCCAGAATATGCAAATCCATAGATGCCTGAAGACGCCAGAAGGACTAATTGTTAATAGCTATGAACTTTCTTTTGTGAATGATGAAAATGTTCTGGAATTAATTAGTGGTGATGGTTGCATAACACAGTGAATATACTAAAAACCACTTAAGTGTACATTTTGAAATGATGAATTTTATGTTACGTGAAGTACATCTCAATTGTTTTTTAAAAATTTTATTTATTTATTTATTTGAGAGCATGAGAGAGAGCGAGCACACATGCGCAAGCAGGAGAAGCAGCAGAGGGAGAGGAATAAGCAGACTCCACACTGAGCGCAGAGCCTGATGGGGGCTTGATCCCATGACTCTGAGATCACAACCCAAACCAAAGTCAAGAGTTGGATGCTCAACTGAATGAGCCATCCAGGTGCCCCAAAGTGTATCTCAATTTTTTTAAATGCTATAAATAAAACAAAACCAAATATGCTTAAAATGGTTAAGAAAGGAGATTATGTTCTGTATACTCTAGCACATTAGAAAATTTTGTTTAATATTTTTAAAGGAACCCAAATACTAATCTAATCCTTCAAACAAAGATCCTTAATAAAAAACAAAGCCAGACAAACAAAAAACCCTGATCATTAGAACTCAGCCAAAGGCACCAATATGGTAGTTGTGGGTCATCTACCTTTCTGTTCCTGTCCTTAGAGTTAAAAGCTCTAGGAAACTTCTGAACCCTAACAGAATAATGGTTTGTGTGATGAATAACATGCACATTGACTCCCCCAGTGGAAATGGCAGTTGATTCATTAATACCATCTCTTACATACCCCAAGCACAAAGTATACCCTTCCAGAGCAATAAAAAGCCCTATATTTGACTTTAAAATCCATACCAAGAGGAATTTGTCCTGCAATTTTTATTAAACTTGTTTCTCTAAAAGTAGCTTTTAAGCATACTTTAAGCATAGCGTATTTGTTTTTTTTTAATTGCTTTGATTTCCTAGCAAAATGTAAAAATTTAGAGGCTTATCTCTGAAACCTTTAGAAAGTAAAAATATTAGCTCATCAGTTCAATGCCTAGAAATGAATTACTGTTATTGGCAGTGCTTTATTTAGTCCTATGCTCACCTTCAGCACAGTCAGAAGATGGCTTCTACTAACAATGAGAAATATACAATTTTATATCTTTCCAGAAACAATAAACTGGAAACTAGAGAATTCAAAGCATTTCCTCTTTCCTTTGATCTCTACAACCTGCATATGCCATTAATCAACCTCATTGTCAATAACAATCAGCACATCTGGATTAAAGCAGGGTGCAAAATGGGAAGTAAAATAGTAACCCATTACATTTTTTTAATTGTATACTGGATAGGAATAACCAGAGGCATATCAAATGGGTAGCAGTGGTAGCAGCCTACCCTGTGTGCAGACAACAAGGGTGTGCACAGTCAGAGAATTTTATTTTATTTTGTTCTGTTTTTAAGTTTATTTGCTCAGTTTATGTTTGGCATAGAACTATGAACAGATGGTTACCTAATAACCTGAATCTTTGCTTAAGGCAGTGAACTAATTATTCCTTTTTTTTTTTTAATTCAGAGAATTTTCAAACTATAATAACACCACCTAAAAATTTGTTTGTTTTTTATTATCACCATGAACCAGCAATTCTAAACAATGTCAGTGATAAAATACTTCTCTCTACCAGGGTACCCTACTACTCCCATGATCTCCGCCCACCCTTGGTATGCTACTGCTCCTATCAAAACGTTATAAATTCTATGTGTGTATCTGTATACATATATAAATGCTCTAAGGAAATATATATATAGTAGTCTAAAACTTAGCTAGCTTCCATGTTAGTCACTGCACAGATGCTTCTATTGACTTAAAGTAAATGAGACAATATGTCAATAATTCCTCAGTAGAGCATGACTTTTTAAAATGAATTGTCAAAAACATGAATCGTTTAGACAATCAACTTGGCAGCTGCTGTGTACAAGGTAAATCTAAATACCATGAGTATACCTCATTTGGCCTTCTGTTATTTCTATAATTATCCAGTTAAAAAGAAATTACTAGTAATTTAGACTTCGGTAGAGTAATTCTTGATGAAAACATTAATTAGCAAAGCATTAGTCCAGAACCTTTCCTTGACCAACTCATTTAGGAAGTAAAATATTTCTAGGGCATTCTAAATATATAAGATCTTTAACTATAATAAAAAGCTTAATATACATGGTTTAGAATCTGATTCTCCAATTGTTTTACATATATTTAAAGTATAAATTTTTCTAGGAAAATGAGATACAGCATTTGAGTCCTTATTTGGAAAAAAAATTACATGTGAGACATACAAAAATACCCTAGTAAACATTAAACACAGTGATAACACTTACCTAAACCTTCAGATTCAAAGAGGTAAGTCTCATCAACCCCAATGTGCCTGCACCAGTGAAGGAAGTTTGCAGTATTGTCTCTAGCAAAGAATGAACCTGAGGCAGCATCTTTCTTACAGGGCACTTTTCTCATTGGAAAATTCTGGAAAAGATGAAAGAATAATTTCAAAAACTCATATCAAGGATATTTTCATTAGATATCCATTTTAATATCACTAAATAAATGTTCGGTGTATTGAATATGACTACAAAGTTCACAACATTAGGAGGAAAAGGTATCTTCAAAAATTATTTTATTTTACTTTAAGTATATTCTAGAAAATGACTCCTAGGAAATCAATCTATTCAAAATTAGCAGTAGGATCAAGCGTCTCTAACCTCTTTCTTCTTAAAATGACACTGGAGTCTTAATTAAAATAAAAAATGACAGTCTAATAATTCCAAAGCATATCTCTAAATGTCTCTCCATACACAGTTCAATACAAACACAAAATTATTGCTATGTTAAAGGTTAATGGACACACTCATTTTTGCTTACTTCCTTATTTGCATTCATAAATATGGTTCTGAGTTTCTTGAGGAGACTGTCAAATAAGGAAGTAGTAGCCATTCTTAATTCAAGTTCTTTGAAAATTAACAGTCTAAGTTTTATAGAATCCTAATTTTTTAACTATGTAGACTAAGAATAGTTAAATAATCCTGCTGAGGCAGAGGGGTTTTAGTTCTCTTTTAAATTTTTACTTGAAAAAGCAATTTATGCGTAAGATTTTTTAAAATGCAATTGGCACAATAGGGTGTAAGTCTGTCTCCTACCTCTACCACTCAGTTCCTCTCTCTTCCTAGAGATAACCACTATTACCAGTTCCTTATATACCTTTCCTCTTGTTGTATTTTCCAGAATTAAAATGGCCTTGTGAGTTTTTCTAATTGTCAAGTGAAATTTTCTCACATGTTAGTAAGCATCTCTACGCACAAGGGTACACATATCTGCACCTACAAAATGCTACACAAACATGCTAGTCCACAATCTGATCTGTGTATGTGTGCAGACATACTTAACAACAGGCTGTAGGCATCTTTTGAGGTGAAAAATAACAGATTATTAAAAGAGTCATTTCTAATGAATGGATAATGCATTCCACTCAGTTTAGGTGCCATAATTAATTTTTAACAACTTCTTTACTGATGAGCATTTAAATTGTTCTTAACTTTTTCTGCACAATCAAGTTCTTTGAAAATTAATTTGTGAATTTGTAGTTATTTTCTTAGAATAAATCCCTGGGGGAATTATGTATCAAAAGATGTGCTTTACTTTCAATGTAATATATATCACCCGCTGACTCCCAGAAAGATAGCAATTTATATTTCTACCAACACTATGTGAGTATCCAGATGCCACACTAAGAGACCCCAGATCTCATAGGTGACCGATGTTTGATGAAGAAAGGAAACCTTATCTAGTTCAAATCATGATTTCAGGGTCAACGGAGGAAAACTGCCTAAAAAAATTATTATTCATTCAATCAAATTATAGAATTTACCACCAAGACAAAATATGGGGAATATAAAGATGGTGATGATGATGGTAGTAATAATAGCAGTAAAAATAATATAGGGGTGCCAGGAACCATCACAAGCTCTTTTCTCATTTAACTCTCACAACAAGTAAGAGTATTGTTCTCAAGGAGAGATAACTACTTACTGGATATTTACTTAAACTAGGCACAAACCTAAATACCATCTATACATTACTTCATTTAATTTCATTAAATCCTTGCAAATAAATCTGACAACATAAATGTTAATTCTCCCATTTTGCAAGATTAGATAAATTATCTAAGGTCTTATACAGAGTTAGGTGGAAGTCTGCAACCTTTCAGATATGATAAGAAATGTACATAAACAAATTAATATGTACCAAGGTATAAAATCACCTACTGTCAGGGTGCCTGAGTGGCTCAGTTGGTTAAGTGTCCAATTCTTGGTTTCGGCTCAGGTCATGATCTCACAGTCATGAGATGGAGCCCCACGTCGGGCTCTGCACTCAGTGTTGAGTCAGCTTCAGATTCTCTCTCTCCTTCTGCCCCTCCCCCTGCTCACTCTCTCAAATAAATAAATAAACGAATAAAATCACCTACTGTCAAACATGTTCTTACCCTGGGTTCTTTAGAGTCACAAGCTTTTACCATGTTTTGAAGAACATCAATCAGTTGGCATAATAGTACTCCATTATCAAGTTCTTCCAATAATCTTTCTGCCTTAACTTTAGTACCTAAGAACATATTTCAAAGTTAAGATTCTACTAGAAACGGTAAATTCAAACAATATGGTTAAAATTTAATTAAATGTAATTAGATTATAGCTGAAACATGAGACAAATATTAGATCAGACTCCAAGTATGCACTCTTAGAAGCTATAGTTAGATAATGCAAAATTAAGACAACCAAAACAAAAATATCTGTGATGTAGAAGAAAAAATAAAATGACATTTTATTTCATTTCCTAAAAACCAGAATGTTTTATATTTCACTATTAACTGTTAAAGTTTTGATTCACTGCACATTACTACTGCTTGCACAAGAAGAAGATTCTCCATAAATAAGATGGACTTTGTTATGATTTTAAAATTAAATAGCTAACAAACACCGAGGGAATACTGACTTTTTGCCTCTAAAATCCTTTCTTTAGAATCATTATTACATAATAAGCTTTTTAAAAATTATCCAAATCATCAAACTGATATGAGAACATTAGAGTGTGCAGTGTTTTTAATTATCTTGGAAAGGCCATAGATGAAATTCTGTATTTAAAAGAGAGTGTTTTTCTGGGGAGAAAGTTCAGAGCACTCCTAGTCTCTGAGTAAAGAAAATATGAAGTCAGATATTTTCCAAGCTGACACTTCCTCCTAGGTTTCACATGCCTCTGCCCCTCAATACCTCAGAAGCAGCAATCATTTTAACTACAATATATATTCCCCTCAGATTCTCATGCCTTATATGAGATGGGGGTGGTGCACTGGTAATAGAGACCCCAAATCAGACCTATACACTTAAAAAGAAAGGTTTTAACATTAACAATGAAAATGTTGATTATTCAAAGATTACTACAGACCTCTTCTGTTAAGCCTCAAACTGCCTTACCATCCAAGCCCTAAGGTTCGGGGCGAATTGGAATATCTCCCCAACTAGAATGTAAGCTTGTGAGAACAAGGCTATCAAATATTCCATTCACTAGAGTATCCCCAGCCTCTGGAATGATCACTCCTTGACAAAGAGTAAGATTCTCAATAAATATTTAGTAAGTAAAAAACTACAATTTTGAGTATCTTTTCAAGCCTTACCTAATAAACCAGATAGCCAGATTGACAGATCTTCTTGCATGGGCAACAGGGTGGCTTCATGCCTCACAGCTACCCACTCATCATACTGACAAACATCGGCCAAGCCTGGCCCGTGTCTGGGGGTCAGAGGACTCCGTGGACATAGAGGCAGGTCTTCTCCAAACCACACCTAGAGAAAACACCAACCAAATGGATGCAACCTTTCTAAAAGTTAGTTCAGCCCACACTTACACTCAAATGATGAATGACAGACCATATATAATATACACATGTGTAAAACCATAGCAGTTCACAGAAAGTTCATAAACTAGAAGCAAACTATTAATCTAGAAACTCAACACATTTTCAATATTCAATACTGTGGTAAATCAATGAATGGATTCTACTACTATCAAACTACAAGATAAAAGTCAACAAATAATATTTTTCCTTCACTGGCTAGCTAACTAGTTTAAGTTTAATAAGTTACTTGAACCACAGCTTCAGCCTCTCAGCTATAAAATCAGCCAATGTAACCTGCCTTACAAGATACATCTTTGTAGCATCTAGCATTGGGCCTAGCAACATTTGTTGTATAATGGATAAATGAATGAATAAATGCATAAATGGTATTTTATAACTTCTGATCACAATAACAGTGTTATCTTAAAAAAAATTCTAAATAATCTGGTATGTCACCTGACTCTTTCATGGCCCACAATCCAAGAATGGTTTTTACATTTTAAAATGGTTGTTATATAAGTACCTACAGAATAGCCTCAATTTTGCCTACTGACTCGCAAAGCCAAGAATATTTACTACCTGGCCAATCCCTGGTTAAGAATAAAAACTGACATAAACATACTATCAAACCAACACTTGCAAAATTTTGAAATACAATTAGATATGTTTTAATATAAGATTATTTAGAGAGAAGACTTTCATTTCTCAATTCAGGAAGGGGTATTCAAGCTCAAGGGAAGTGATGAGGGATTCTCACTGGAGGGAAGCTTGAAATGGAGGGTCAGAGCTGGAGTGAGATGAGAGAGTGTCCACACATGGGGACAGTATCAGACCCTGAGTAGGATGAGGAGGGTGCCCCCAGGGGAATATGGGAGAACATCCCAGTGCAGGGTGTCAGAGCCCAAGTGAGCTGAGAAAGCCATCAACTCAGGGAGGGAATGGCAGCAACAATGCAAGATTGTTATATTCACACGGATTTATCAAATGGAAGCCAGGTTTCTCACTGCCAAAGAACAGAGGTACAATTCTTCTATGGAGTGAGAGAAAACTAGAATGAATCCTATGGTGACTGGAATATCTTTTACCAGAAAGCAAAGAAGGGCTCAAAGAATGATAGGGACAAACCAAAAGGACATAGAAGTCAGCATGAAGGGACTTCTACTGGCTAAATCAAGAGCAACGTGAGGATCAAACAATAATATAAATGGATTATAACACACTGAATAAAATAGAAAACTATTAGTTCATATAGATATAAATATATGAATAAACTGGGATTTTGATGAGGAATGAGATTTTTATATAGTTTCAAAGTACTTCCCCACAAAATACTTATTACAAAGAGAAGAAAGAGTAAGTTTACAGTAGAGAAACCTGACAGACAGCAACTTAATCAAGTGACAGAGGTAAACACCATCAAAAATGGGACAAATCAAAATCATATTCCACCCGAAAGGATGCAATGAGAAAACACAGTATCCCTCTGTGATACTCCTGCCAAAGATGCATAAACTGAATCTAATCATGAGAATACAACAGGCAGATCCAAACTGAGGGACATCCTACAAAATAACTGGTCTATAAGATTCAAAAATGTCAAGGTCATTAAAGAAAGCAAAGATACTGTTCTAGACAGATTAAGGGACATGACAACTAAATGTGGCGTGTAATTCTGAACTGGACATTATGGGAACAACTGAAAATACTTGAATGTGCTCTGAGTATTAGGTGGCAGTACTGTACCCATGTTAATATCCTGGTTCTAATTATTTCATTGCAGTTGTACAGGACGATGTCCTTATTTGTGAGAAATACATACTAAAGTATTCAGAGGTAATGAGGCATTAGACTGGCAACTTATTCTCAAATGGTTCAGCAAACAAATATCTCTGTTCTACACTTAACAGCTACTTTGCAGGTTTGTGATTACTTTAAAGGTTTTCTAATTTTTTTAAAAAAAAAGAGGTATGAGTATAGGTAATACCAAGTGAATCTATTCCCTTCTCGATTTTTAAATGTAGATCATTTTCCCTCTAAAATATATTCAACTTATTGAGGTGTATTTAAGGCAAGTCTTACTACATGAAATCAAAATCCATAACACCATTGTTAATCCAGACAAACTCTGGAGAAAAAAAAAAAGAAAGAAAGAGCTGCTGAGCTGCTTCCAAGTTCCTATGATGAGAAACAAACAGATTAAAAAAATCCCAAAGGCAAAGAAAGAACATGAATACATACCACAAGAGGCAAGCAGGAGTAGTGAAACTCAATAAAAATACCTAAAGATTAAAAATTAAATAAATAACTTATTTGAGGGCGATTATTTCAGGAACTAAGGATAGAGATTAGGGAATGAACTCCTAAATATATAAAGATCTTATAAAGTTTTAGGAAAAAGACAAGATGTCTTTTTTACTTATTTCTCCGAATTCTCTTAAAATTATTTCAAAGGGAGTATAGCAAAGATTTACTATCTAAATCTTCCTTTCATAAGCATGTCTTATTTCTGTTTGTAACCCCAGAACTCAGTATAAGACATAGCACATGGTATTCAGTTAAGTATTTGTTGAATAATTGAGGACATTAGCAAATGACCTTTGCACCATCAAAATCAAGATGCATCTTGCAGTCGAAGGTATTTTATAGCCAATAGAATATTATTTGTCTTTTAACCATTTGGCTGAGTTGAAAAAAGGCACAGCAGTAGCAGATGTTTGTCAAGGAAAGATGTGATATAGTTAGAAGGGTGGTTTTGGAAAAAAATCATGTGTGAAAATGGAAAAGCTAACATTAACAGAAGCCATTCCAATTTCTTGTCACGTTAGGGAAAAGAGTACTTGGATTCTCCTACTCTTGCCAACAAAACCTGGGCTATAATAACCTGGGCTAGTCAATAGCATATTAATGTTGTTAAAAGTTAGATATTAATAGCAAAAACTGCATATATAAAAGTTGTTCTCAAACATGTGAAAGCTGTCGTTTGCAAAGATTCTTAATCCACAGGCAGTCTATAGATGAACTTGAGTACGTACATAAACTTAACTTACAATGAGGCAAAATTTTATGCCTATATACAAATGGGCTTTTTCTTAGTTCATAGCTTTTTGTCAGATTCTCAAAGGGGACTATGTATGACCCAAAAGAGATCAGGAACTATTGTTCATTGATTTTTAGACTATATATTTATTTACTAATCAGAATGAAAGATACAAAAAAAAAAGAGGGGCAAGGAAGATCTCAATGTATTAAATTAATAAGAAATCAATTGATATTGGATGTCTATTGGATGTCTCCTCTCTACAAGGCACTTATGAATAACTACATAATTGTCTAATATAATTATCAGAGAAAGAGGTAAAAATCCTACAAAGTTTTCACACTCATCAGGGAGAGAAGCAAAAACGTCCATGACCAGATGTCAAGAGTACTCTTGGAGAAGAATTAAAAAAGATGGATCTGTAGACTCTAGATCAGAGAAGGTTTCATGGAACTATAAAACAAAACTATGAAGAAAGTCACCAAGTTAAAATATTAATGGCATTAGGGCAGAATAAGAAAAACATGGTCAATGCAGCAATTATAAAAGGCACCCTATAAAGAATCAAGAAAATATAATTAACATGAAACTGATGACATTTCTGAGACTTAGATAAAAAGAGGACAAATAGAAATAATCAGATAAAAAATGGTTTTGAGTAATAAAGGAGTTTTGAGCATACTCATTGTGGATTTGAGAGGACCCAAAGAGCAAGAATAAGACCTTCTGGGAGACTTCCATGGGCTCCCAAGTCCCAAAAGGAAAAAAGTATAATAGAACTCTTTATTAATAGAGTACAGGATATAGCTGCATAGCACACATAGGAGGGAGTATAAGCAGGATCATATTCAGAATTGTTGTTAACATTTGATAAATAAATTATCTTTAGTCTTCACTCACTGTCATCTTGATAAGCCTTCTTTCAAAAGAAACAAAGAAAGGAAGGAAGGAAGGAAGACTTTTATGACACAGGTATAACCTCCAGTTTTATAATGTGGAGAGTTTTGTTATATCAGTGATACAACCAAACTTCTGAAGTGTCTACTATGCAACATACATTCTAGTAGGGACTTTGCTCATGTTCTCTCACTGATTCCATTGATTTCCTCAACAATGACCTCACCTTGGAGGTGAGGAAGCAGAGGTAAAATAAATTGCCACAATCTTACAATCAGAGTGGCAGAACCAGAACCAGAAATGATTGATTCTAAAGGTCTCACTTGGCAAGGCAAATTATATTATCAACTGCTTGTATCTTTATAGGTAGAATATCAATGTGATTTTTATCTTTAAGATTCAAGCATACTCTAGTTATATCAAAAGAAAACTTTTGAAAGAATATAAGAATAATATAGCAAATACCAATTCTGGAAATCATTCAAATGTAAAATTATTCTGGTTTGTCTAATTATCTCCATCTTGCCTCACCTCACCAAAAAACAAACAAACAACAACAGCAATAAAAAACACTTTAAATTTTAGGTTTTAATGCCTGGTCATTTATAAGCATTACTGGGCACAGGCAGAATTATCTAAAATAAATAATTTATAATTGTTTTCATTGAGAGCTCTTTTAATTACAAATACATACTAAATTGTAAGGAGAGGAAAACTATAAAATGTTCCAATTCTCTTCCCACGGTAGTAAAAGTAAGATGGACTCACCAATTCTAAGGAATTTTTGACTCTTATAAATAATGTGTATAAATGAAAGCTTAAAATTAAAATCTTTTCAGGACTAGAAAGTTAAAATATAGTAATTCCTGTTATTAAAATTTGATGCTTAAAAGAACTAGTACAGTAAAAACATTTTGGGATAATTTTAGTATTCTACTAATTATTATAATTTTATATAATCTCACATAATTATTATCTCATAATTTAGATACATATTTTTCCAAGAAAACACTTACTTGAATTGCAGGTTGCATGGTCATCTATATTGAAATGAAATTGCTTTTCTGAAAATAGAACAAAACATTAATATGCAAATAATGGTAGTTTTCCTACTCCCCAAGCCCCCAAATTACAAGGAATCTGCTTTAGTCTCCTATTTGACTGAAAACCTAAAACTTTTTCTTCTATTTGGAATAGTGTGACTGTAGGAGAATTCAATAATCACTCCTAGCTTCTCACTTATGAATGTACTCCTCATTTGAAAGAGGAAAACCTGAAACACATTTAATATGTAGTTTCTGGCACGAATATCAAGGTAATTCTTGAAGCATCTGGCTAGAAAAATAAAACTGACAATAACACTTAGCACATATAAAAGTCTCCCCAAATTTTCCCCTGTAAACATATTATAAACTATAATGCAAACACCAACAGCACAACAACTGATACTGAAGTCAAGCATCTCTCATCTGATTTTTACAAAGAGATCATATAAGTTCATCTGGACTAAGTTAAGCTTAGCCATTAGCTTCTTCTGCCAGACAACAAGGTAATAAAGACAGACATCGATTTTAACTATAAAACAATACTCAGTGCCTTTCCATAATTTTTCATAAGCTATTTTCCCCATAAGGTACTACAGACAAAAAAAAAGAACCAGCAATTTTAACTCCAAAGTACTATTTTTGAAATCTATAGAAAAAAATACAATTTTAATTAATTAGGTTAATACAATCATTTAATGTATTTTTAGATGGGAAAAAAGGTGAAGAGTTTAAAAACACTCAGAATAATAGAGACTATATAAAACCTAGGATTTTTGATTGCTTATAGCAGCATAATACACTAGTCTATTTGTTATTATAAACCACCATTAAAACATTATAAGAAAAAAATAAAAATGGTCTATAATGCTGTCAATTTCCAAGGAAAAGTTACTTTCTCCTCTAAGTTATACCAAACATACCTCATGCACAGTATCAACTACACACACCACTTTCCTTTCAGGAACATTTCCTCTGGTACCAAAGTTGAACTTGAGCTAAATCTAACTGAAAAGTCTAATATTACATCACGTTTTCTTTGCGGGAAGGCAAAGGACAGCAGAATGTCCTTTTTGATGTCATTTTTCCTTCTCTCTACCATAGCAAAAGGCCAAAGTACAATTGAGCATTACTAATGAGCTTGTTATGCTTCCCACGAGCTAATTCAGTGGGGAATACATTTTCCTTTAGCATAAATAATCCTTTGTCCTCAACAAAGATCCACAGTAAGAAGCTTCCGAGACCATTTTTTAAAAATGCAGCAAAGAAGCTGCTCCCATTAAAATAAGGAGTCCCACATAATCAGACAAGAGCTTTAACAGTTGGAACTGCCAACCCAAAACAAAAGAAGGCCTAAATTATAAGGCAAGTGCAAAACAAGAACAGTGACACATTCACAAAGAAGCTATCACAAGAATGTTTAATAGTTGCACTTTTTATGGAAAATGCAACAAAATTGGTTTTATGAAAGAAATGAAGAATTTGTGCACAACCTTCAGTCACTTGAACTTTAGCAGAAGAGTCTTTTATATACATACTTTTCAAAGCATTCTTCTTGTGTAATGCAAAGAACTACTTTTAAGATGACAAAAATATAACCATCTGAATTACCTTTAAAAAGAAATTTTCTAATGAAATCATACTCAGATAAGCTATAATGTATCTTCATATATGAAAAACTATCACATATGCAAATATATGCTTTTATTGGGAAATTTCTATAAACTGATGAGATTGTATCAGTGAATCAATTAATTAATGAGTACTCATCATGTCCCAGAAAGCCAGTTATTGATATTTTCTAGTCATTTACTATTCTTTTTCTAAACCATTTTTGTGTTCTCGGGCATTTAATTCCAAGAGTAGCATCTATTCTATAGTTACCTCAAGTCTGCATCACAACCACAATTCTTGCCTCTCACTCATTTTGTTACTACCTATTTCCCTAAAAGTCTCAGTTTCTATTTTTCTCACATAAACCAATTATGCTGAATCAGCAACACTTCATTTTTGGAGCTGCATCTTAATCAGCAAATCATTGCCTTTACTTTGTTTTGCTTTTGTCTCTCTCTCTTTTGGGAGGAGCATATTTCAATTCTTTGCCAAATTGAGGAAGTTTTTTCCCTTAGATTTGGGCAAAAAGACCTCTCATGTGACCAAACTATACTGTAACCCTGCTGGGAATCATTCACAAGACCAGGAGTTTATACGGAGATCTTAAAGGAAGAGTACTAAACTTTTAAAATCTGAGGAAAACAGAAACACAGAAGGCACTCACTCATCCACCTGAAATTGAACAGGATCTGGACCTGACCCACTCATCCTAGAAAAGATGCAGTCATGAGATCTTCAAGATCATTTATGGTTAGCCTCTTCATACCAATTTGACTTCAGATCATAATGTGGGAAAATGCCAACCTGTTGAACGGATCCTTTTTCCCATAGCTGTAGGTTTTGAAACTGAGTACATTTTTATCCCCCACCCACATTAAAAGATATTATGGGAGAGCATAAGGTGGCATAGAGCATTCCTAGTACAAATCAGGGGGGAGTTTGGAAAAGAATGGCAAAAAGGCAAAGAAACACGGTGAGTTTTTTCAGATAAATAATGACATTAACTGCCACCATACCACATTTAGCACTCAGACACCAGATTATTGCCAAAATACATAAACTGAAGGGATATGATACATGCCAAAATTGGGATAGTGAACAATGCTTATTGCTGAGGAGAGGGAGGAAGATGAGACTGGGAAGGAATGCACAGAAGCCTTTCAACTGTACTGGTAAGATTTTATTTCAAGATAAATGGTGAGAACACAGGTGTTATTATACTAGTCTGTACGCCTTTCTGTATGTCAAAAACCATTTCATCATTTTTTAATGTTTCATTTATTAAAACAACTGAAGAAGATATCCTCTCTGATTTGTTCAGGGTGGGGGCGGTACTTTCCTAACTTTAAAATTTTCGGTTAAATAATTGCCTAATTGCCTAATAGGGAAAATAGAAATGCTATAGCTATACCAAAGATATTTCATTTTTTAAATGTGTACTAAAATGTGTACTTTAAAAGGTACCTACTATGGTAGTAGAAAGTAGCAGACACATCTGGTTTGAATTCCAGGTCTAGCATATTAGCTATATGACCCTGGGGTGCTTAACTTTTCTGATTCTCAGTGTTCTCATCTGTAAAATGAGATACCACCACCTCCTTCATATGGTTATTATAAAGATTATATGAGATGATACCCATGAAGTACCTGACATATAACTACCACTTAAATGAGTTGGTATGATTAATACTATGATGAGACATAATTATAGTTCATTTAATATAACTTATCAAATTAAAAAGTGATAAAGCTAATAATACCCAGAAATTATTAAACATAATATGGGAAGCTTCTTTTACTAACAGATAAATAAATATAGTTATAAGTGAAAGCAAAAGCTTTAAAATAGCCATGTCATCATAGGGAGGATACTCAGATAGGAATTTGTGACTCACAGTTCTCTCTGCTAGAATACAAGTCTTCAGGAACTTATCTAACATTGGCCCTTTGCTCCATTCATCCTGTCTCCTTGTTGTCCTCACTCAGTTTTGTTCATTTCTGTGGCTACATCATTGTCCAGGCTGTATGCTTTTCCATGGGGTGTACACTCATTCATTGATTCAACAAGCATTTACTCTTCCTCTTTAATGAACTAGCACCACAGCCAAGAGACACAGTAGTGAACGTAAAAGACGTGTGACTGCCCTTATGGAACTAATACACCAGTCGGGAAAATTTTAAAAAGCAGCCACACAAATGAATACACAGTGTTAAATCATGATAATTTTACTTTGAAGGAAAGAACAGGGAAGGAAACAGCAGGGGCCTATTTTAGACTTAGATTGAATGATTAGAAATGGTTTTACTGAAGGGAAAACATGAATTTGAAGAATGGTAGGAATTAGGGAATGAGAGGAAGAGTTCTAAGTACAGAGAATAATTTCTGCGAAGACTCTGAGGAATGTGGCACATTCCTAGAACTGAAAGAAGCAGGTATGGCTGCAGCATGGACAATGTGTGGCTTAGGAGGGGACTGAAAAATTAGGCAGCAGCCCCATCACACTAGGCCTGCTGAAGAAAAATTAGGTTTTATTCTAGGTGCAGTGAAAAGCCATGGGAGAACTTTAACCAAGGGAGAGACAATGTAATTCCGAGTTTCAAAAGGGGGAGAGAGGAACACGACAGTGAAATAGTGATGGGTTTAACAGAGAAAGGGGGAAGGAAACAGAAAGGGGAGTAGATAGAGATGTGGGTAAAAAAACCAGGGGAAACAATGAACGAAGGAGACACAGAGAGGGTAGAAACAGTGGGACCATATAGGAAATGGGAGCACACAGGAAAAGAGATGGAAAGGAGCCTGGCATAGGAAGAGTTAGGAAATCTGCAGGACTGCAGTAGCTCGGTGACAAACAATGGTGACTGAGCTAGAACACAGACAATGTCTCCACTTGAGAGAAGGGGATGGAGTTTATATCCACTGCAGTCAGAACCAAGACCTGATAATGGTTAGAGAGGAGCAGTGAAAGGGAGGGATGTAAGGGCAGAGTGAAATGTCAAGTATGACTCCCAGGTTTCTGGCTTAAGCAGTTGAGTAAATACATAGTGGGAGCATTTACTGAGCTGAGGATGATACAACTATGAACAAATCAAGGCAGAGAACACAGTACTGATAGGTCAAAAGTGCTGTGTTTTGGTCATGTTTTATTTGGGAAACCTTTAAAGACATCCAAGTGGAAGTGTCTGTCTGGCAGTTGGTAATAACAATCTAGAGCTGAGAAGAAAGTTCAAGAGGAGGTAGAAATTGTCAGCAAATACTTGGAAGGTAAAGCCATTGAGAAGAATGAGATCATCTGAGAAAGAAATGGAGAAAGCAGTGATAAGGGCCTAAGAACAAGTCCTGAGAAAATCTAAAATTTAGACATGAGAGAAGGAGTTAG